CCAAGAATTTTCTAGCGCTTCCTCTTGTTTTTAGGTTCCCAGATTTCCCGCCCAAATTGGTAACCTTTTGCTAACCTATGGAACTTTCAAAGGCTTTTCTAGCATTTTCCTAGGAATGCTCTAGGCTTTGTCTAGATTGAGGCTAAGGCTAAGGCTAAGGCTTAAGGCTAAGGCTAACCTCGACAGTCACGCCTCACCCCACCTCTCTCGCTAGAGCAAGGCTAGCGCTAAGGTTCTATCCCTTGGGGGTCGGCGGCTGCAGGCGGTAGCCTGGTAAATAAGTCCAAGAGGAAATCAAAAGGAATCAAGGACATTATATATATAAAAGGAAATCAAAAGGAACATAAAAGGAATCAAAGGGACATTAGTAGGATTCAAAAGGAAAGCAAAAGGAATCAGAAATGTACAGAACTTGGCCATTGCGCCATCTATAGGCCCCAAACGTTATTTTTTTTAGTAGGGAAAACTAGTAACCGCACAAACATCCCGCATAATTTCAATTTTCTGCACTCCAAAGACCAGTTGCGCCATCTATGACAGCCAAATAGCGAGAAAAAGCAGATACGTGGCGCGGCTGTTCCCGCTATTTTGTTTTTTGAGTTGCGCCAACAACTATCCAAACGGTGTAATGGTTATTTATAAATTGTTGTGTTTTGACTGTCCACACCCTAGGTCATCCCTTTACTGCAGGGGTGGTGGCCCGCCTGTCCGCCGGTCCGTGTTGCACCCGGGGATTGAAGCCGGGTCCGACGCATGAGGGATGCGTCATAGCTACTGTCATGAGAAGAAGAATGGTTATGTATTGCTCTTGTGTGTGTGTGTGTTGCATTGTGTTGCTGAACCCCTGGTACAGTACGGTATGAAGGGCATGATACGCTCTACCCAAGTGCCTGTATCTTGGTCTATATACTTCTGACGAAGGGCAAGACCTCGACCTTATTTCCAAGATTCGCGCACCCCATGCCACAGGATGCAAGGTACATCAGTACATTCAACATTCATCCCTAAGGCCCCAGGAGCCTGTGCGAAAGTCTGTGCTGAGCAATCCCCAGTAGGGGGGCATTCCTCCCATCAGTTCTTTTGGTTCAGCCACAGAGATCAGCTTCACCATGTCCACACTCTTGGCCTTGCCCTTGGCCTTGCTCAAGCCCAGCACAAACTGGTGCGCAGTGATCCCTCCGTGCCGCTCACCATCCATTATCTCCTCAGTCAGGTCGATCCAATCAAGTCCGATCAAACTGGGACTGACCCTAAGAGAATGCATGCTACGTTCCCTAGATTTCACAGGTGGCCAGCTGGTAATTTGTGGCTTTGGTCAATATATGTCAATACACTCATTCTTCTTGCGTCCTTCCATGATTCCACATCCATGGCTTACTCCATTGAAGGAAGGGACATGAACAGCCACTAATCGCTAAGGAACGTAGAAGGCTTGAGCCTCCTCATCAGAGATGCCCATCATCTGCAGCTTTGCGTTCACTGTAGGCGTCTGCCAGGGAACTGAGCGAACCACACGTTCTACAGTGACCGAAGAAATAAGACAGTGGGTGGTCTTTGCTTCGCAATCCATCCCAATACGGATCATTACATCTAATCTATATAGTCAGCCACACTCAGATCTCGCTTGCCTCAACTTTCTCCAATAGTTTCAAAAATTAGAAAACAGAAAGGATAAACACTGCAACGCGGACAACCAAGGATGCATTGCTCATCAAGGTGCCTCGGCTCGTGTTCTATCAAAAGCACTACATTCTGCGAACAGGAGAACTCCAGCAAGCGTTTTGCAACGGTTCAAGGCTGGGTATCGGGTAACACTTGCTAATTAGTTCTCTGAAAAAGCAAGAAACACATGGGCGAAAGGGAGGTGCTAAAGACTTGCATGACTTCTAAGACAGAGAAACATCCCCATAGCATCGATGCATCGAGCAACTACGGCAACCTCTGTCCTGAAAAGGTAAAATCACAGTTACTTTAAAGACCAGTGAATATATAAATACTAGTTGCTAGATGGACCAAAATGTTGACACGATCGTCATGGTCATCACCTGCAGTGCAGCCGGCCCGGCTAACACCCTGCCTGGATTAGCTTGTGGAAGACCTGCATACCTCGGCATGATCCGAAGAACTGAGAAATGACTGGCATTGCAGTGAATGATGAAAGGCTGTCTGAACTAGGTAACTAGTTGGCCGCTTTGTGATGGCCGTCAACCAAGGGATGAGAGGGATCCAGGTGCTTTCGACCATCGAAGTTGTATCCGGGAGGTCAAAAACTGTAAACACTCCAGAGCCACTTTACACTCACCATGTTTGATCTTCACGGTTGCTCCAGGTTTCTGCTTTTCACTACCAAGGCTGAGGAAGAAACCATTGAGCATAGTGGGCCCTTGACTGAGTAGTTATTGACATATCTGTTGTTTGGGGAAGACCAAGTCTGCCCAGAAACAAATATCTCCAATATGTTGCCGGAATCCAGTTCTTTCTGAGAGATCAAGTCCAGGTTGCTGAGCTTGCCATCTAGGCCGATGCCAGATCGAAGGTCTTCTTCCAAGGAACCTACACCCAGAGGAGCCAAGACAAGAACTTGATGATGTTTGTCAGTCACCTTGACCCCACAGTTCGGTGGAGAACGATGGAAAACCAATCAAAATTTGGCCTTTGTGCAATCCTGCATGTCTGACTGGTGATCAATGAACAATCCCTCCACCGAAGGAAAAGCGCAGCTGACCGAAAGCAGGCCGCGTGCACCAGGGAGCAAAGATAAAGGACTGTTTGCTTGGAGATGATCCTTGATAGTTGCACACAAGGCAGTGGCGATGGTTCCAAGGGCTTCGAAAGTCTTGCCCAGAGAGACTCAAAGACTCAAGACATCTCAAGACCACGTATCCGATCTGTTTTACGGTTCACCCACCTGAAACGAGGACTCCCTTATTTGCTTGCTGAGAGACCAATGCTCCTTTGTGATTCACATCCCTTGTTTGGTTCCAACTGCAGTAGCCTGCACTGCTCAGCGCCATTGAACTTGCTCGAACACATTTCCCAATCTGAAGCCTACCCTCAGTGGATGAATTTCATGCAAGAAAACCATGTGGACCTGAGACCCCTTCCACTAGCAAGCACGTCCCCCAGTTTGTCCACACCCTTTCGTGTCTTCCCGTTGAATTTGTCAGTTGTCTCATCCAAGATCCAAGGAGCGGATAAGCATGTCATGTGCCTTGCCCATCAGCTTCTCCTGCACCTCATTGTGCTCGCCTGAGATGTTCGAAACGCGATCCACCATGATGGCCACCTCAGCACGCCAAACACGAACAGCAGCAAATGGGAACACCAACCAACCGGAGCTTCTGCATTTGAAGTTTCAAGACGGATGGATGGCCAAGGTCCCGAGAAGGCCTTTTGGGTGTTTCAGATCTTCAAGCCAGGCTGCCAGGTGGTTGATGATGCCAAAGTTCAGCAGAAATAGGGTGAAGACAATCCTGAGAAATTCAGAGAGAGAGAGTTCCTTCTGAACAATCATCCGGAAGACCGTGAAGTTGATAGAGTACGGATGAAAATAAAACGGATGAACGGATTCCTGTATAGCCTACTAGCGTAGCTATTGCCTGTCCGTCTTCACTTTGCACTTCATCGACACAAATGCCGCCTCCCTGCCATGTTGCCCTCCGTAGCTGCCTGCTCACTACATTAAGAGACTGGCGAAGAAGGGCTTCTGCCATGTGGTCAGGGTTGGCGTTTTGGTTGGAAGTCAAGATTCCCAACACCTCCCATCTCCCGTTAGTCAAGGTTGTGTAACATGTGGTTAACGGATTAAAACATGTTCACAACCTCACCGGCTGCACTGCCATCTTCCTTTCCCTCACCTTGCGAGCACAAACGAGACCAAAATGAAGCGTCGTCACCAAGGAGAGCGGGGAAATCTCGAAGAGGCGGATGGCAACCTTCCAAAAGTGCCCATCGCTACTAAGGGTGGAGGTCATCGCTAGCTAGTAGGTTGGAGGCCGATGTATGAGGGCCTCTATGTCTAAATGAGGGGTGGGAACAGTTTCCTTCACCGGCACACTGCGGAAGCCTCGAAATGCAAATCGTTCTCCTTCCATGTCCATCGCTCCATCCACGACATCCAACCAGCCTCCCCTCTCCATCCCCTTTCTGTGAAACACCTGTCTACCGGCACAACAAAGAGCCACACTCACGATACACGGCTCACACTGCGACTGCCGACAGCACCTCGGACCAGAGATCCAGGGTGGCCAGTTGCATCACCGTGATGGTGGATCTCCAGACCGAGCCCGCATACCTGACAAATGTGGCGGACCCCCCTGTGTATGCAGGGCAACAAGTCCGTAAAAAGGTTTTGAGGTTGGCATCAGACTGAGTTTCCTTCCTTCGGTACCTGCGGGGGCTGTGGTGGTGCAGGATTTCCACATTGCTCATTGTACAGAGGTGTGCTGGGATGGTAAAATCCAGAAAATGATCCATTAACCAGCTCACCCTCTTGCACTCCTGTTGCAACAACAATTGGCAAAGATTCCAAGTAATTATCATGGTTGTTTGAGAGGCTGTGCTCATTGAACAAATAGGAACCGTCAAGGTGAACATCACACATCCACATCGAAGGTCACATGCAGTTCTAAAGGGGCGGAGAAGATTCCAGGGGCTCACTGATAGGTAGCAACAATGATAACGATGATTTGAATCAGCTGGGGCACGACACAATCCTGAAAAGTCTTCTTTGGGGTGATCTGCCATCTGCTGCCCTGCGGTAAAGGTTGTGGTCAGAGTAATGAGTTTGTTCTCACGTGAGAAGAAATTCATTACTCATTCCAGGTCACAGGTACTACAATGTGTTCCCAAAAATGGCGACACTCTCCGACCCTCGTCCTTTGGGCCCCAAGTCAAGAGGCATCTTTGCTTGTGGCCACCGGGAGATGGCATAGGCGTCTTGCGCCACCAGAGAGGTCAACACCACCGCCATCCTGCAGAGTGAGCGGGTGCAAACACCGTCCTTCACTGGGATGTCAGGATGTCGTTGAACAAGAAACGTGATGACTACGTAGTACATCAAAGTACTCTGACTAATAAACCCCCGGAAGGATGGATATCATTGAACATCGCACTCTATGAAACGAGACTCAAAACCTACTGTGACTGGTTTGGACCAGTTTGGTCCCGTCAACACCCTACAAACCGCACCAGCGAAAACGTCTCGCAACGGCTTCGCGCATGCCGGTCATGAAAACGAAGACTGCCGTGATAATGCTCAGTTGGATCACGTGCTCCACTGCGTTGGCAAGTCCTGACCGTTCACCGGGCTCCACGTGCAAAGCACCGAGAGGTCAAGCACCCACAAAACCGACTCCAAAATGGGCGTAGTTTGTGGCAAACTCCGTTGATGGTTGATCTATCTGGGAAAAACGAGCACTGAGATTGTGGGAAAAAAACTGGCTGACTGGCTACTGCTTGCTCATCTTCGACACCTGCAAGCAGGCCCCATTCCGTGTTCACCCATGATTATCTTTAGAACCAGGATCAATGAAGTCTTACAAAGATGTTGGCCCCACCTCTTGCGTTGAATCTTACCTAAAGCAGCAGGAACTCCTCCAGTCTAAGCCTTCAGACAAAACATGAAAATAATACATGGCCAATTCCCCGACCGCTTCAGCCGGTTCAGCCGTCCTCGCGCGATGACAAGCAGTTGGCTCTTAGAGTTTTGCGCCAATCTAATGATCCGCACCTGGCTTGCACCAGTTCGACAGGATCGCTTGGTGGCTTCAATCAAACAAACATGAAGGACTTATGGAAAATGACCTTCTCCAATTCATTCGCGAACTGAGATGCCCAGAATTTCTTAATTTGATAGGAGTATCGATTGTGCAACTAAAGAATTCCGTACCAAATGAATGCCTTCTGGAAGAGCCATCTTCAAACATTCTGGCGGGGTCATGACCTAATCATAATTGTTTTGCCGTACTCCTGCAGCGAATTCATTTTCACACGAACTGACCGCCGAGGGGCAAAGCGAAAGACTCGAATAGTGGATGCAAGTTGCACCTGGCAGAACGCCGGGATACATGTCTGCATGCTATATGTTCAACGTGCACAAGGTGCACTTCAGCCAAGGAATACTACGCGCATATCAATAGCTCCCCACATCCAATTATATAGCCTGTTTCATGCTGTATAGTAGCATGGGCACAAGGAAGAGGGCGTCAATATCCATCTATCACGATCTTGAGAAACCTATGTAGATTCACCATGTTCAAGCTCAAGTCCGCAAGTGTTTTTTGCCTGTTTAGGGCCACTGAACAAGGCTTGCTCCAAGAAATTTAATATACATATATATATATATATAACATTATTTAACCGGCGGTATCCTTCAACCTCCCTCTTGAAATCGCTCAATACAGTAGTACACCAAAAAAATGTCAGCATCCATGAAAAAGAATCGACTTATACAGATATATACAGTAAGCGACTTTGTTCTGCGCCAACCAAGTGATTTGGTTCCGCATCAATGGATTCATCACGAAATTGACCTCTTTCTGCTGATTGTCACGTGATCCATTATGCAGGATCAACACCTCCGGTGTTTCTGACCATGAGACCAGTTCAGTAGGCCTTTGCCTTGTTTGTAGCTCCCGTATCGAAAGGGTGAGACTTGGTGAAACGGTCTCAAAGTCAGACGCAATGAAACTTGTCTACTGAGGGCTTATGGTGAAAATCCGGCAAATGAGATAAAGACTCATGAGTCACATGAGTCATGAGACGACTCATTCGAGAATTCTTAGCTTATACAGTATACCCAATTTATTACTCCGACTGGACGACAGACACCAAGCCAAAACGCCTTGGCAACCTGACAAAACCCAACACCTTGAAGTCCTTCCGTTCCCCCTTCAACCGGAGGTGTGCGCACCCGTTCACGATAGGTGGAGGCCGAGGTAGCCACATCCAGCCAGCTCGCAATCACCAAAGAATAGTCCAACAGGTTCAACAAGTCCTCACGAGAGCAATTTCTTAGAGAGCTCCAAAAATTTGGGTATGTGGAGGTGAAACGGTTGGGCAACCCGAACCAGACATTTCTGGTGTCCTGCAGATTACAGCCTTTTGGTTTTTGACTCACACAAAAGAATACGGCCTAGTATCAGCAGCAAAACTGTTGCTAAGTAGTCTTGCTATCGCAGATCAAGGTTCTTGTGTCGGTAGGGTCTGGAGCCACACCCAAAAATGAGTCTTCAAAATGATACATCGCATTGGATGCATTGCGAGGGATAGCTGGGTTTCACTACTTTGTTGGTTTGATTGGTTCCCAGATGCTTATCACCAACAAACCCTCAAAACTAGCAACTGCTTCCCATAGAATACAGTAATATACCTGCGCTATCCGAATCCAAGACCAAGTGTTTCTCTCTGCAGCCAGGATGCCTGGAAGTAGCCCCAGGACTGCTGATCTATGCGGATGCAGAGTTCTAAGGTGAATAGAAGGCCTTGGTGTCCCGTGTTTCATCCCTTTCCCAATCGCGAAGAAGAGACGGGCGATCATCATGTGCATCTTGAGGTCCGTGCTGAGGTGTCACAGAAAAGTGTGGAGAGCAATCAGCTTTTTGGGAGGAGGATCACCTTGATCCAAAATGATCTCACCAATTAAATTTGCTCTCTTCCAACAAGACCTACCATCAACTCAGGCGTTCCATTTCCCCTCCAAACAGCGAGCCAAGCCCCCCCCCCACTGACCCCAAAGCACCCGGAGCACACCGACCTGGCTAAATCTCAGTGGCAGAAGGCAGCTTCGAGCATCACCTGACTGGTGAGCAAGGTCAACAAGAACAAGGGAGAGAAGCGAGAGAATGCCGTTTGGACAACCACTCAATGGAGCATCGGGACCCCTAAGGGAGACCATTGCCTTTTCGGGAATCTTCGACCGTTTCGTGGACGATGGTCGGGTATATAGCGACCTGGAAAAGGCTACCACGCGGATTCTAATTCCCAACCCACTGTCTGAAAAAACACTCTCCCCTCCACGCACCAAAAAGAAAAAAAGAAAACCCCAAAAAGCACATGATGTTGATCTGACCCACCGTGACCCACCGTGACGCTCCGTGATCGGTCGAAACCCGATTCGAGCCGAGTCACGAAGCCGATTCGATCCCACGCCATCACTTCCGTGGCGGTGTCCACCTCGACCCCTGAGAAGAGTGCAGCAGCAGCAGTTCCGTGGGACCCACGGACCGTCGAAAAGAGATGTCTGAGGCACTTTGAGATGTCTGTGGAGTTATGCTGAACTCTTTTAGACAAGTTTGATGGATTTTTGAATTGGTTTTTGGTGATCTTTGCCCATAGGTGAAATTCCCCCGCCTGCTCACCTTCGCCCTAGGATGTTTCCGGTAGTTTGGTGACACGACACAGCTACGCAGCGGTCCCAACCAGATCTTCACTCTGATATCATGTCCACTCACGTCATCCTCGGAGCCTGGCGTTGTTAGTGATGGGATCTCTTGGGGGTGCCTTTCGGGTCTTCAGTTCTCTCCTCCAGTGAGACCGCAAGCCACCCAAACCAACTAAGAAGCACCAATAAAATAAACTGGTTGGGTCAGTTGGTCTTCTGTTGGCACTATTTCCTTGCAACACTCCTAGTGGGGCTGGATTGAAGTGGTAGCAAAAGTGCAGTGTCCTCTTGCTCTTGAACTGCTATCAGATTATCACCGGTACACCAATATATATATATATATTACCTGTGCTGATGCTTGCGTCAAGGCATGCAACATGAATGTCAGAAGAAGAATGCACCTCTCACCCTCCCGTGGCACACACGCCTCCCAGAAGCCTCACAGTAATAAGTAATAAGGTACATTCAGTAAGATCTGCGGCAGCTGTAGAGCGACTACAAACTCAAGACAGGTCTTGGACAAGTCTAGAAGACCCTTGGTTTGGAACACAGGATGAGGCTCAACACATGGACTCCCAAAGTTTGAATGATGGATTCACCCGATCGCATCGTAACGTGCCAACCACATGCATTGCCATCCACTTGGCGGGTTCGCTTTAACTCAAGTATATAAGGCATTCATGGCAACACCCTCAACAAGAAGTGCTCATCCCATGAGCATTCATAGGAGCAGTCTAATTTGGCCCGCACATAAGTTAGCCAACTACTGTCAGCGAGTCAAAGGGAAAGGGTGGCCATCTGGATGTGGGCCAAAACAAATGTCTCCAGTCTACTTAGTCTACTTGGCTATTGAAGGAGCAAAGTCTGTTGTTTCCTCAGTCCATTCCTTATCGGACCTTCACCTCGAGACACCGCCGCCAGCCATTTGGCCAGGAGGCCCACGAGGATCGTATTGATGGTCACCGCCAACATAATGAAGCCTTACATGGCAAGCGCTGGTTGGAATGTTTGAAGGTGAGGCAAAGGATGGTCCTTGGGCGATCTGAGACAAAGGTTTCTCAAAGGTGTCTCGAATTATCTACATGATTCTACATGTACAAAATGGAAACATGTTTGAACGACACCCTAAACCTGGACCAGGATCCTGTACATCGCTAGCATGGAGCTTGATCTACATTGAACCCAATCTTTCCAGCCTTTTGGCTACATCCACCTAGGTCTATCACGACTCCTACCGACATTTCGCCATTTTAGCCCCTCCAAACCGCCCCCAGATCTCCGCAGCCCGGGAGCCGTTGAACAGGGCCGAGTTCGCGATGTGCTTCTCTTTGCGATAGAGATGGTGTCTGTACTCCGGGTCTCAGCAGAGGTGAGGAGGGGTCTTGGCAAGACACCTTGGAACACCTGGTTTTAAAACAAAAAAGATCGAACGAAACCATTTTGGAAATGCCTCAAATCTTGTTCAGTATGATGAACAACGGGAACAATCGCCACTGAAACCTACCCACCAAGAATACAGCCATTCTTCTCCAAATATTGAGAGCTAGAAGGCAAGTTTGTCAAGGGATCTCATCAAACCCAAGTAACAGTGGTCTTGCTCCGCACATCTCTTCCAATCGGGCATCTATCATAATCTATGAAATCTAACTGAATCTATAAAATATACTTTGAACTGATTTCTGTAAGTCTCAAAAATCACAAAACCAAAACGGGGCCAAACTTCCCTTTGTTACTTGGTAAAGGTCCTCTCCTTCCCCTTCGTTCGAAGCACTAAAGAGCTCCCAGACATCCACGAAGCCCAGGACCTCATGGGTCTCCGGCTGCAGCGACTCTCTGAACCTTGTGGAGCGCGGACCTCTCCGGTAAGGAGAGTTCACAACAAACAAAAAACATATGCTTTTAAGCCCACTCCCCCCATCCCTACTAAATTAAGTAGGCGCCTACTTAATAAAGCAAGGCAACTAGTTCGCTACTACCTACTGGACGCAGGATAGCTCACGCTTCTTCAAAGAAGCTCCCCCCAGCTGTCTCGGCCCAAAGCCGGGCAGCTCACGCCCCCCCGCGAGGGCCGCGGCTCTGCTACCCATCTTTAAGGTGGGGGTAGAGCGTCCACAGACTCAGGCCTCTCCAGGTTTGGGATCGCCATGGTCACTAAGGAAATGAGCAAAGAAGATTGGGTCAAGGCAGAAGAGGCGCTCACGCAATGGGCTACGATGGGCTTTCCTTCTACTCTGGCTGCGGCTGTTCAGTCAGCCCTGAAGGCCATCGCCACCACAGGTGAATGTCGGGGAGAGCTTGAAGATTGGGTTCCTTTTGGCGAAGTTGTGAATGTGCACCATGGCCCTTCTCTTTGTGTGCATGTTCGGCGAACTTCCATGCTGATGAAGAAAGACGAAGTTGAAGGTGACAGGTGGGCCGACTTTCGTGTGATCTACCCAGTCGAGCATTGCTGTGTTGATTTTACACCTGGAATGATGCTTGGTGTTCTTACCAAGTCATGTTGCTGGCAGAGTGGTTGCTGATGCCTCAGTGCCTGTGAGGAACCCTTCACATTGTGATCCGACACCCACTATGAGAGGATTGATCGCCTTGAAGAGCAGGTTGGACGGCTGGAGCAGAAGCATGAGAATCTCTGTGAGAAGGTTGATAGCCAGTTCAACTAGATTGGTGACCAGCTCCGGCAAATCCTGCAGTGTGTACAGCCGTGACATAGTGAACAGGGGGACATGCCGCCACCGGTGAAGTATCACCAGGCGGCTTGACAAATCTTGATGGAATGCAAAAAGGGGATGGATGATGGGCAAGTTCCGGCATCTTCGCCCCTTGGCTTTGGTGGACCTCACCTAAGGTCCAGGGGTATTGTGCTGGCTCCTTCGTATCCGGGCTCTATGGCTTGACTTTGCTGGTCCCTCGGATCTGGCAATTCTTGCCAACCTTGATGCTGCCAGTTTTTCAATGGGTTTTTGTATGTGGGTGCGCCTACATCTGTTGTCCCACGTCAGGATTCGTGGGTCTCTTGCCTCGAGCTGTGGTGGCCCGTCCACCTTATTCACGTCCTGTCATCTTGATCCGGGTGATGTACTACATCTTCAATGTGGCAGGGTCTTTTGCACGACCCTTTTTGAAACTTGGACAACAACGATGCCGTACTCCCATCTTAGGGTGAAGGAGAGGGCCTCTCCGTTGCTGCTCTGTGATGTATGAATTCAGAATGTTTTTTCTTGTGGCAGATATTCCCCTGCCCTCCATTTCCGCAAAGTGCCTTTCTAGGCGCGGAAGCCTATGTTGACTATGCTACGTTGGAAATGCTTTGTATTGCCTTTGAAAAGGGGGCCTTTCTGACCCCCCCTTTCTTGGTGTATCCTTTGTCGCTTTGATAGAAGATGGTTCACTGACTGCCACTGCGGAAGCTTGGCAGTTGCCGACCACCCTGTGTTGCGGCTTGAGAGCAAAAAAGGAAGCTCCCCCCGCCTGAGGGCAGGGTGGAGCTTCCTTGAAGAAGCGCTCGCACTAATGATTTGGTTCCTAGATGTATTGGGAAACTTATGTTTATAACTCGTTTTTCCACCGAAAAGGCAAATGGTCACATGGTGCTCTTATGCGGAAGCCAAGAAGACTTGGAAACTACCTGTGTGGTTCGTCTTCAACGGCCGTCTGCGAGCCAGCGTTCTTGGCTTGGGTTCGTCTTTTTCAGCCCAACATCTTCCTTTGAGAGGCCATCAATGTGAGCCACTTGCGTTCCTTACAGTTTTTCGTTGCAAAACCGGTCCTGGCCTCCGATCCGATCCTCTTGTGTCCCCTAAATGGCGAGAAGCTGGGCAAAGACCCTCTTTACACGTCTGCAGGCCAGTTTCACCAGGGCAGACATGGCCCAGGTTCACGAGGACATCGTGCGAGAGAGGTCAAGAAAATGATGAAACTGGGAGCCAAGAACAGTTCTCAAAGTCTTTTTTCAACTGAGGTACCATCATTGAGGGTGGCTTCGGTTCAATTTGGAAATGTGGTGTCGTCTCCATGGGAAATCAACAGAATCTCAAAATGACCTTGTGGGCAGAGTTCATCTTGGTCAGTAGGCCACCACATTGTGTGCTTCCCACCACAGTCCTAGTCTTCACTGGTGGAAAAAGGCAAGTGCTCCGACCAGTTGGGCAGTCATCTGCTCCGTTCAATCACTCAAGTCAGTCGTCTAGTTACTCAAACCTAGCTTGAGGGCTTCTCCTTGAGCAAGGGCTCCCTATATGGCTGTCAGGGTGAAGCTCACTGCTAGTCACTAGTCATTACTTCTTGCAGATCTGCTGGAGGGATATTATTGCGTCGACTCTACAGTTTTCCTGCCTGAAAACTACGTCTCCATGGTCTGTTGCATTATGATCTGAGCCGGACAAGCCAATCGGTGCAGACAAACACAACTGCCTGGCAATGTAACATCTGTCACCCCCGAATTCCTCTTACAAGGCCTTTGCGTGCATTCTGCATCTGTGGATGAAGTTCAATCCTCCAAACAGTGGTCTCTGAATCTAGGTTTGAAACACTTTGCACTTCTTTGCACTTTGTCGCCTCAGGCTACTGACTGTCAACCAACTAAAATGATGAGGGTCTGGAATGAAGGCCCTCGCTGACCCATGAGGCCACTACTCGGAGGCTTGCTTGGGGTCGATAGTGAGCTGCGGCTGTTCCAACATACAGTACCAAATTCGTCGATCCTACGAACAAATACCAACTAGGCGCATGATTGTCTGCTACTCGATGCTTCGGGGGACCGAGAGTTTGGACCTGGTGAGCTTCACCGAGCTTTGCCGATTGTAATGTCTCTCGGTTGGGGTAGCGCTGTGGTGACCCACCCGTGGCAGCGCACACCTGACACATGTACAGCATCAGGTCGAGCTTCGCCCTGACGTCAGGCAAGCTGGCTGTGGGTCAGCTGCCGCTCAAGATGAAAACTATGTAAAATGAAACAAACAAATGTGTATCAAGGTCTAAAATGCCTGCTGCTGTTATTTTTGTTCTAACCTCCACACGGTGCCCAATGCCCGGGACTGTGTGTGGAGGCGAGCTTTCGCTCAGTCTGAAGAGTGATGCATAATTTTATGGTCCAGTCTTGCTGATGTTGGTTGGAAGGCCCAGGGCTCCCTCCTGAAAATTGCTGATGTTCCTAACCACGTGCCCACTGAATACAATGCCCTACATGGCTCTGTATCCTACTGGGACACGGAATAATTAACTGGTGTCTGCGGAACGTTGCGGTCGATTTTGCACCCCCACTTGCTCACCAGTCTTTCGAGATGACAAGAAATCCACGAGCACCGCAAGCCACGCAAGCCACGCATGAACATGGAGTGCATGTGGATATGACACAGACAAATTGCTTATTTATCACAGTGGGTTAGGAAGAATTCTCCAAAACTGCAGATGTTCACGCCAGTGGCAAATGCTCGAATCTAAGACTAGCCAGTCTTTAAATGTTCACGCCTTTGCTTTCTCGTCGATCTCCTCCTTCTTAGCGACTCCTGATGATGGATCCATGCATGTTTATATAAGCCGTATGAACAGCTTTTGGCGGGGGTGTCTCAGCAAACAACAGCTGCCGGAGACTAAGTAATTGCCATCAAACGTTCAAACCATCAAACCTTCAAAACTCATTATATACTAGGGTTGCAAATGCAGTCCTTCTGCTTGCTACAGGTTTCTCTCTGTTGCGGAGCAGAAATGGCTTGAAAGGACAAAAGAAATGGACCCTGAAAGAAAGTGCGGATCTACTTGTCCCTGCCCCTTTTTTGACACACCGTTTCCATGTGCTTGGGTGCTTTGCAGTGCAACTGGTCGGCGCGCATAAACGATAGAAGCGCAGCTCGCAGAGGAGTGATCCGAAACACCTTTCTCCATGAAGTGTGAGGTGGCGCCAGCGTGCCTTCCACTTTCTGGCCCTCTAGAGCCTCAGCTGCAGCCTGGGGTACAGCTGGGACACAGAACAGCGCTGTGTGTGGTTGTTCGGATCACTGGACCACGGACCACCAAGGACCCCCTCCACTGATTCGAATCGGACTGGGGCACGGGATCAGCTGGGTTCCAACCCATACTTCTCAGTCAACCTAACGTGAACGCTGGAAACAATCCACAAGAAGACTCTTTTCTTCTTTTGAACACATGTGGTCGATGTTGGTCTGCAGACAGGCTGTGCTCCTCGGCCCAAAAGTCATCAAAACTGAGAGCTTGAATGTGCGACATCTCTCCAGTTGGACCACATCTAAGTTGTACTCTCTCGGGGCACTCGCAGAGTAGACTCAGAAATTAGCCTCCAAAATCAATATGGCAGCCCGCCTCGGTTTTGGTTGTAGGTTCCTGGTTCTCCTGCCAGGCCCCACTCACTATCCATCAGCAGAGGTCCAGCTAGTGTTGTGGATGCCCTGATTGAGATCAGGGCACCGGGTGTGAGTCTTTTCGGTTGAAAGTCCGTTCTTCAGGCACAGGTCAGAATATGTTTGATTCAGGCCGGCCGTAATGCTTATATATATCTTATTGCGTAGTGGAACTGCAGAAACGCTGCTTTCTAGCTTGCTCACTCCCAACGAAAACAGGCTTGCTCCAAAAGAGGCGGAGAATCTTGGAAGCAAAGCCACGAACCCACGTCCCAACCATGCAGCCCTCTGAAAAGAGAATTGAAAGCTAAATCATTTCGAACCAAAGAACCTTGTAAAAAGATGCAAAAATAGTTGACACTCCACCAGCATGTCATCCTGGCAGCCCAGGACATCAAGATCTTGTGCCAAGGGCAATCCACAAAGGATCTCCTCGTCGCCGCCAAAATCCGGCTGCTCCTCTGTATCCTGGCTACCCAGTGGGAAGCTCTGTGGACAAAAAATGGAATGGCTCGACCGGTGAAGAACCAGGTTCCAAAACTGGGCATGGGCATCCTGAACACTTCGATGGTTCAATGGAGTTTCCTCAACTTCGATGAGCCGGGAGCCTAAGCCCCACTGGTTGGCCCATTGACTTGCCAAACGCATGGGCTGACCTATATTGGAAAGCTTGTGAAGGGCCGTGAGTGATGAGGTGAACAGGTATTCTCCAAGGCCATGGCAAAAGTCTTGAAAGGGCTCGGAGCAGATGTCGCATGTTGAGCATCCCTCGAATGAAAATACATTTGAAAGGTTGTAAAACATAAAGGACTAATAGCTTCTTGTTACTACTAGTAAGGCACTTGTTACTAGAAGCGATGCACTTGTTACTAGTAGCGAACATTGTTTCTACTAGCTTCTTCATGACTTCCAACTCTGAAAGTTGCAAGAATTTTAATGACCGACATAGCTTCCTGTCACCTTTACACCTTCGGACGTCCATGTCTGAAAGTCTGGGCGGAATTCATGTTCCATCTCACAAGATTGGCGGCAATACACTTTCCGACCACTGCGCGGTGGTGAATTGCTCCATTTACAATCAGAACAATACAGGTAGACTATCAGACTATTGGCTTGTCTTTTGTCGAATTCAAGGGAGACGTTCGATGTCAGTAAAGGTTGAATTAGATTGTGGACCACAAGCCCTTCCAAAAGAGATATCGAATCTTCATTGAGACAAAAGCCCCTCGCCTTGTTGGCATCCACAGTGTCCTGTCTTCATCACACTCCGCAGAAGTGGAAATCCCCGACTGAAGACAGCAGCAGAACTCACCCTAATGGCGATGGCCTCCAACCTACTGGTGGCCTCCAACCTAACCCCAAACAAGTGTGGGTCCATTGCCAACCCAGATGATACACTGATGCCACCAACTCCGGCTTCCGGATTACTTTCTGCAGGACTCCAATACTGAATACCCGAAACTTCACCCGGATTCTTACAGACTAACCCAGGGTCTTCCAGCGCAGCCGAAAATATAGTGTCCGACCACTTGCGCTGCACCTCGATCACCTCGGTCTTCACCTCGGGCACGTATCAAACCGTCCAGCACAGTTCCGTCGGAAGCTGGGGAGAGCATGAGCATACTGGAGTATAAAAAGAAGATGTCAAAAGGACAAACACTCTTAGATGGTTTCATGAGGACAACTCATGCATTCCACCTGGGCTCCTACAGGTCTGCAGCAGGTGCCTGGACTCTTGGCATTCTTCAAGGGGGTGAAGGAACCAATGTCTGTGGCAGAAAGCAATCTACCTCGCGACCTTCACTGACCTTTCTTCCGGGTCTTCAGTTCAATTGTGAACCAAATCGATCCCCAGACGGTGAAGATAAAAGGCACCTGTCGGCCTGGTCCATGTCCATCCTCTTTGCATCTGCTTGTGAGAGCTTCAGCTGGGAAAAATGTCGCCAAAGGAATGGTCGTCAACGGAACAGCCAAATCCACTGGCCTATGGAGGCCCATTTTCCCTTTTTTTAGCCTGGGGGGGTGGGGGTAGGCCGCTAGAGGTAGGTAAGCTAGGTAGGTAGCTAGGAGTAGCTAGGTAGCCAGTAGCTTAAGGACGCAGGATAGCTCACGCTATTCATTTGGTTCCTAGATTTTTAGGGAAACTTAAGGCTACTAGTTTACTTGGCTCGTCTTGGCTCTTGGAAAAGTTACGGTTGCCTACTCTCTTGAGGCTCCCCACAGTTGTGGTCGCCATGGCTACGTGGTCATCGCATGGACAAGGCAAGGCAGGACCGTATGTTCAAGCGACTTGGCTAAAAGCTTTGGAGGGCCCGCGCAGTAAGGGGCCAGTATGTGTCCATTTTAGCTCGTCTTTCAAGAGTGCTTCACGGGTTGATTTCCATGAAGCTTCCGCTTTGGAGCCGCTAAAAAAAGAAACCTGTGTCGATTCTCTGGATCGCATGTTCCGAATTGTTCGTCTTCCTCAAGAATCCTGTGCTGACGCGAAATCCAGGTCTCTTCTAACCGTCATTCTGCGGGAACTTGGGTAGTTTCTTTGTTGCAGATCTTCTTACAAATGGCGGTTTCAGCTGAAGTTCCAAAGAACAATGCTCGATAGGCCTTCACATGTCTCGAGGCTAGCTTGAGCCCTTCAATCCACACCCATGAGGTTTCCAGTGTGCAAGTCAAACAAGCAGCATTGAAGCGTCAACAAGAAGAACCCAACTGCAATGGTATACACTGTATACAGATTGTAAAAAAGATAAGTCAAAAATACATCTTTCAATGTCTTCATTCATCAGTTATTCGGGCCTTCTTCAACTATATACCTGGCCCCTTCGCCCTTTTGGAAACCAGGCTCGATGTGGTTGCCCCGGTGCCGGATTGGCCCTGGGGCCTGGAGACAATTGTAGCGCAAGGGGTATGGCCCTAGGTGCAACCTCATTTGCGAGGAAACATCTTCACGACCCTTCTTCCAGGTCGTCCATCTTTGTTTGACGGAGAGGACCTACTGCTGTAGACAGGGGATTCTGTAGCGCCTCCTTCCTTCAGGTCTGGTCATTAAGATGCACTCAAAGCACCAGTCCAGTCCGCTCTGTCTCGCACGACCGGTACCAGCCCCTGATCTGTCCAAAACCAGTGCACAACTCAGGCTACATGTGGATTGAAATGATCGGAGGATTAGACAAAGCCTGTTGTGGGTTGGCGAGCCACTGTTGAGATGTTGATGCTGATTCTGGCGCTTGGATTCGCTTGCCCTCTAGCTTCGGTGAATCTAACAAGGTGGTCCAAACAGGTTGAGAATGCCCAAGAAGTGTATGTTGCAGCGAAGATCATCGGAGCGAAAATGCCTCTGGGCAAAAGAGTTGTTGTGAAGCAGGGTTCCCGCTTAATACCTTTCAAACATCACCAGGCATGCATAACGGAAGCATTCATCATGACTGTGGTATGAGAAAAAGAATCCAAACTTTTGAGAATCACACTGAAAACGGAAGGGGCCTGGTTTTGAAGGTGGTCTTCCATTAGGCGATGTTCCACTTGCAGGTGGCAGGAGATTGACTTTCGGATGATTTTAGAAAGAACCTACCTTCAATAGAAAATCAGTAACTAGTCGACAGTCAACTCCCCTATTGAATCGTACCTGAATATGTCTCCCTGTAGAATTGCGTCCAACTGATCCTTCGTTGTGTCCGGTCATGGCACAGCCAGGCTCAGCCAGTTGCAGTACACAGGATTCTCAGGCGTGCGACCTGCAGGGAAGTGAATGGGGCACTCCTTCCTTTGTTACTGGTAGCGTCCTTGCTCCTAGTAGCGATGCCAGGAGCCCCTAGTAGCGTCCTTGCTCCAGGTAGCGATGCCAGGAGCCCCTAGTAGCGTCCTTGCTCCTAGTAGCGATGCCAGGAGCCCCTAGTAGCTTCTTGTTCCTATTGAACAAACTGGTGTCCGTCGTTTCGGGATGCGATCAAGAGATACCTTTTCTTCCAAGCCAGGTGTTCTGGACGGTGTACTGTCATGGTATATCCAATGATTCAAAAGGACAACCAAACCGCAGATGGCATGCTTCATATAGTTGGCGAAACTGCAGGCCTCTGGTTTGTGGTCAAACAATAAACAACATGTATATACGGTAGATCCCTCTCAGAAAAAAATGCTTAAAACACGTGGCAAAGGCAAGTGGTCAATCCTGTCCCTTCGCAAGCCTAGTTTGGAACCGCCTGCCTTAATCCTTAATCTTTAAAAAATAAAACATAATGTTTTGCAGCAAAATGCCAGTTCTCAAAAAACAATTTCACCTTAAAACAATGATACTTGGGATGCCGTTCAAACAAAGAAGAATTTGGATGCACTGAAGAATCCGTCTTCTCTAGTCAAAGGACTCAAGGACTTGAACCAGAAACTGCGTTTAGCTGCTTGACACAAAACCCGAAGCACGAAACCTTGACCCTCAAATTGCAAGCAACAAACCTGATGCACAAAACCTAAGTCTGCCATACCATCAGGCCATGTGCCGCACCGCGGGGCCTCAATCGTCGTCCGCCGTCAGCTCAATGCCCCCTTCGGTGCCGGGGACTGGCAGCCTTAGATGATTCGCTGAGCACGGGGTTTTCCCGATGGCGGTGTCACCCCCTGGTGAAAACAGGAAAAGGAATGAATACATAATACAAGTATATCATAGCAAATGAGCATTTTCATGTTTTTCCCAAAACAAATTACAAAAAACATTGTGTCATCATGTCATCCCATTCAAACCTCCAGCCCTCTCCGCTGGGCTCTCCCAGCCCTGCACTGGCGATATACTCCCTGAGCCTCAGCACATCTGTGGTTGCATACACAAGTTGCCGTGCATGTCCCCAAACAAACACATGAAAGGAAGGAATGTGTGTTTCGGAATTTAAAAACCGTGAACATAAGAAAGAACGAATCTCTTTATATAGCAAGAGCCCGTAGAGACCTTTTTAATGGAAAAAGGGAAGGGGGCCCTTACTTTCTCATGCCTTTCTTGTTTTTATTTTTGGGGGGAATCTTTGGGGCCTCGTTACCGTTAAAACGTGTCCTTGCCAATGGCAATGGAAAATCCAAACAACTCGAAACCAGTCACCTTCCTTCCTTAAAGTGGGTTTGTCTAGATTCCAGTCCGGCCACAAACGCTGCACTTGTTCCACCCACATTTGTGACAATAAAGAGGTCGGCATAAAAGGAACTTTGCTGACATAATCCGGTTGATCTTGATATATGCTTAACTGCACGACTTCCTTTGAATGGCGTGCTGGTGACAACGTCTGCACTGCGTATGTAGAGTGCGCCTTTCATTTTGGAAGTTTGGTTTCCATCTTTGGGCCTCTGGGAATGTGCGTCACATACTTCAACCTTTCCTGATCTCACTCTTTGGTTGCGCCTCACGTTAATGAAGAAAAAGGCTGAGAAGATACGAGCGCAAGATCCATTTGCGCCATACAACAAATGCTGCACATTCCCAGAGTTACAGCATTTATGGGTCTTCGTCAAGACTATCACTGCTGCGCGGACACAGCACGTGTGCAACCTCAAGAAAAAATTTGACTCAGCAGGTATCAGCTCTTAGTGCGAAACAGTGTAAATCTTTGGCGCAACCCCAAAACAAAGGAGGTGAGAAGTGGCCAGACATCGGCCAAAAATGCTAGAACATTCATACCAGGTAAAATTGCATCCAGAGATGGAAAACTCCGACGACTCACAAAAGGAACGCCACGCACAGAACATCCGCAAGTCATCACGGCACGAAATGTCCAACGCAAGCACATTAGATCCGAAAATGCACAGAAGTTTTCACTTGGTCTTGTGTTCAGGACGCATTCTGCTACCCTGGCCGAGTGGCAATGGTACTCCCAGCGCCATTTCCACAAGCGAAGTACCATTGCCAGTGCCATTTCCACAAGCGAAGAAGGGCTGAACTGAGAGCATCCCCTTGAGGCGCCCCATGCTGTTCACGCCCCAACCAGAAACCAATTGCAACGTGATTTGTATATTGAAAAACGCCACCACCACGGTTTGGATTGATGCGAAGTCTAAACGCGTCCACCCTGGATCATCACACCGAGCCAGCAGACCACGACCGTCGAACTGCTTGCTAACCACAGAAAAAGAAATGGAAGAAGAAAAAACCAATAATCATCCCACATTGCGGCAAAGAAGTCGAAAACACTTCGTCATGTCCGCAGCAACCTCGCAACCGGAGTCAAACTAGTAGCGGCCCGCCTCGCTGTTGAACTGCGAAACCAGAGGAACAATCCCACCCATGGACAAATAATCAGTCCATAGGTGCACCGGGAAGGCATCCAAAAGAATATCCCAGGCCCGGGAAACCAAGCAATGAAGCCTACAACAGGGTGCACAACGCTTATTAACAATAAGGGGCCACTTGAGGCCCGGACATTTCCATTTCGGAAGCAAAAACACCGTACCACTTCGCCACTATTTAGTTTTTTAGAAATAATGGAACGCAAAGCAGGCGCGAGATGGCCCGGAAGACCAGAAATGATCTTTTTCAACACCCCGACGCGCGATTCCCGATCGCAACATCAAAGTTGGCATCAGGCTGCTGGCGACGCCGAAAATCCAACAATTTACCAGCGTGCTCAAAGACCAAACGAGGATAAAAAAACACCAAGACAAGACGAATTGCGGTCAAAGAAAGAAAAAAACCTGGGAGCATAGCCGCTCACGGGCCTCATCTGCGCGCTCCCGCGTGACAGGAACCCGAATGTCTCGCACAAGCAGGCCCCACAACCTAGCAGCAGCAGCGCAAAATTCAATGGCCTCAATCCTACAAAAATCAAAAAACGGTATTCGACACCTGTCCCGCAGACGCCGAAAAGAAGTACGGACCGCTGCTACAATACCCCCAAGACGAGGAGGCAAACAAACAGTTGCCGGCCACCTGGCTAGGCGCTGCAACGTTTCAGGCCAAGGCACATAACCCTGCGGGGCCGCAATGCGCTCACAGCCCCAGGCGCCTTTGAGCGTGCTGCCTGACAAGGACAGGCAGAGCAGACTCCATCCTCAAGCGCTTTGCACAAAAGTGATGGATCAGACAAAACACGAGCCAGCGATGGAGAAGCTGACCAGGATACAAAACACTTGGCGCCAATTTTATGCCAATTCAAAACAAATTTCGAATAACTGCCTGAACGACTTGCTGAGCCGCCGTCGAACCAACCCAAGGGATTGATACGACCACGTTTAAAAGCTAAGGACAAAGATTTTCCCGCTTCCTGCAAATCACCCGGAGCAGATTAAGACCTATACAGTAATCGTAACAAACGAATGTTTCGCTTAGAAGGCACACATTGCAGCAGCATAAGCCAAAGGCTCCCAGCGAGATTCCAAAGCAAAAACTGATCATCCAAATTACGCCGCGGCATTAAAACACACGAAACCGCAGAAGCAAGATGACATCTAAGGTGGCTCTCAATGCAGCACCCACTACAGGATCAGCTGGAAGACCATCAAGCCACGCCGGCTTACGCACTATGTCACAGGTGCGCAACCGGGCACGTAGCCACCTTCTCATCAGGACTGACGTTCAGGGCGTCAAGGATTTTGTTCCAGGCGGTATTGTCCTTGGACCTGGCTCGCAGCTTTGGCATGACCCTTTCCAACTTGCGGAGGTAAATCTGGAACACAGTCTGGTAGAGGTCACACATGGCCTCCAATGGGCTAAGCCGCACCAAAGCCTTGGAAGCTGACAGCTTCCGCCCACTCGCTGCAGGCCCAATATTTGCTGGCAGCGGGCGGAGTGGTCCAAGACGAACCGCCTGAGTGGTGACCAGAGGATGCACGGTATCAGTGCGATACAGAAATTATGGAAGCCCTTTACCCAAAAAAGCACGCTCTGCGCAATCATTGAGCTCAGCCCTTGCGCTTTCTCTTTCCATGGCCTGCGTCCAAAACCTCGACTGCATGGAAGTCTTCCTTCTCGGCTTTCTTTACCTGAGTCCGTCAATCACAAGACCCCAGTCTCATGCATCATGGACGAATACTGCTGGCACGGTGGATCTTTACGCGCTGTTGGACTGCTAGTCTGCGAGCTTTACGCTTCGAGGACTACTGCCTGGGATGTTTTGAAGGCTCGACTGATACCTTGAGATCATTCCAAGTGACTTGACAACGTTCCGGACTGGACTGGATGAGCTGGGTTGTCCACACTCCAAACTCTCTCTGGTGAGGAGACTCTCTCAGTGGGGTCTTGAACCCACTGGGAGGCATCTTGAGCAAAACAGCTGCAAAAGATTGCGAGTGAGATCTTGCCTTCCTGTTTCCCTCTCACTCACTCCCTCTGGCAGGAAAAATCTATTCTAGCAGTCTAGAGATCCGATAATGTTTGGTCGTGGGAATATATATATATATATATATTTGGAGAAGTCCGAGGAGTATGTAGTTGTGTTGTGGGATGGCCCTAGTCTCGCCCTCCGAAAGCCATACTTTGCGACAAACTCCTTCGATGAACTCCCTGCAGGCCACTCCAGGCTCCCGGGCAATTTCACCTCTTCGGTGCGCTTTTTGAGGATGTCCTGAAAGTGAAAACTTGAGGGATCGAGAGGGATCGAGTGTCTCTAGGTGTTCTGTCTCATTCTCAATACAAAAACTATGAAAGCGAGACGTTCCCCTTTGATATCCTTGATCGGCCCCTTCCATTTTCACCGTGGCAACAAACGCCTTGTGAAATGAGCCACTCTGAGCATCAAAGGCTGTTTTGGTGCTTGGTAGCCAGTCCTTTCAGTGGTTTCAAGGCACTAGATGGCACAAGTCTGTCAAATCCTTTTGATAGTTCTCAACATCAGTTGGGAACCTTTGGGGTGATTCGCGACCAGAAACATCTCTTCCACTGAACAGGTTCTATTCAAACCAGCAAAGAATGAAAGGAATGGAAAATCAGACCGCCACCCGCCGCCAAACCCTCCGTGGAGACTCCAACGCCTTGAGGTCCCGGAACTGCGCGGAAGAGCCCACGTGCTGCGCGGGAGGACGATTCGGCGGGACGCTGAGTGGAGATGCGATTCGTTAAATTCTTGTTCCTAGTAGCTTCTTGTTACTACTAGTAAGGCACTTGTTACTACTAGCGTGGCACTTGTTCCTAGCAGCTTCTTGTTACCAGTAGCAAAAGGAACCTAATAGGAATGGCCTCCACCCTAATAGCGATGGCCTCCACCTAGTAGCTTCTAGCTACTAGTAGCTTCTTGTTACTGGTTACTAGTAGTAATGGCCTCCAACCTACTTGCGATGGCCTCCACCTAGTAGTGTCCTTGAGGTGCGGAGTGAACTCATCCACTCTAACAGGATCTAACAGGCATGAAAAATGTCCAGTCGGTGATGTGTCGCAATCCTTTTTTTTGACAGTGCACTCCGTGATATTTTAGAAGACCCTGAGAAGAGCCTTCCACGAAGCATCCACTTCTTGTGCTTACATACATGTTCAGCTGACATGTTGGCCACTTTCAGGTGTAAACGACAAGCTTGCAATACCTGAATCTGTCACACCTCTGGAATCTGCAATTGAAAGAGTGGACCCCCGCATTGGGCTGTGCCTGCTATTCCTCTGCACGGACTCAAGGCATACCCCAGTCAGACTATTTCGGGATACCTTTGGCAAACCCCAGTCAGACTACTTCTGATCTTTTGAGCCAACAGTCTTGCTTCGGGTAGAGTCCGATTCGGCAAGTCCCCGTTCCATTCCGCACCTCCGAAAGCTGGCTCTGCGACATGGCCACTTGGGCGCCCGCCTCGTTCAGCCCGTCGGGGAACCACACACAATGTCCCCTTCCAGGGATTCCCTAAGACCTGGTGAGTGGTTTTACATACCAAAACACACCTGGTTACCTTAGTAGCCGCCTCATTCCCTTCTGGGCACGAACTGGAAGGGCAGGATCCTGGAATGTGTCTGGAAGGCTTTTTGGTTCTTCCACGAGAAATGCACCTTATCCGTTCTCCCCTCCAGGTGATGCCTGAAGCACAAACATTGAACCTATACATAAGGCTGCCGAGTCTCATCAAGTGCTCGCAAATGACCAATGGTCGCAACCGGCAAACAAATATCCACCACTTCATCTGTCCAACAGTAGTTGTCCGTCGAAACTCACAGACATAAGTTCTTTGGTCGTGGAGATGATTCCCAATACTTCAGAGGGAAGAAGTTGGCTCTTCTTGTCTTGGGTTATAGCATCTATGCGAGTCAGACCCAGCTGAATTTCCAAAGTCCATTCCGTGTGGCAGGTGCACAACTGTCAATTGTTATCCGTTTTTTAATGTAAAAGATGAAAGTTTCTATGGATGGAGGAAACACACGCATGCCTCCAGTGCTCTGCAGTCGGTGCCATGAGTTCGTAGTATGGAAGCTTAAAAGAACACACTATGGCCCCGCTATCCAACAAAAATTGTTTTAGAGTTCTTAACCTACACTACAGCTTTGCTTGGATGAATGGGGGCACAACTTCCTTCTTGAGCCTTGCCTCTCTTTTTCCTGCTCAGCTCTCAAGGCCTAGCCTGGTGCAGCTGCTCAAAGAGCTGAGCCACCTGGAGGGACGTCAAGGCTCCAATGAAAGCTCCAGGCAGAAAAGCTTGGCTTCAAAAGCTGATGAATTTCTTTGGGAAGCCAAGGTGGTGTGTGTTGGAAGTGTTGTGAAATTGAGTTGGATTGCTGAGAGTTAAAAAAGCCATAAACACACAAAAAACGCCGTAAGGAACAGATTCACCCAAACCAGTGTCTCTGCTCTAGGCACCAAAATTTATATAGCCTCAAGTCGTGTTTGGAGAGAAGGGAGACTCAGTCTTCACGGCAAGGAGTCAGCCTTCGTGTTCTTTCGGACCCTGCCTGAGCCTCCATTTCGTCATATCGCCCTCTGAGCTGAGAGTTCTCTTGTTCCAGTTCCTGGTCGATGCAGTTGCCGATCGAATGATCGAGACCTGAAGACCTCTCCGTCGGAAAGACTGTGGAGAAGACTGCTCCTCGGAGTATTCGGAAGGAAGCTTCGAAGAACACGTCTATGTGTGGGTTGTTCAAAGTGAGTTGCACATTCCGTGTATGCACCTCAGCAAGTTCTATCGATTAAACTTGACCAAAAGAATCGCAGGAAGAGTCACTCTTCAATCCCCTGAAGAAACAAGCTAGCCAGTTGAAACTATGTGTATATATATATATATTAATTACTACAATACCAAAAACTCGGAAGAACGCTCCTGCCGCCAGCAACACCTGAAGCTCATCCCTCTCCTGCATTCTGGCCATGGTCTGCAGGTCGCCGGCCGGTGCCAGCGGCGAGGGCGGCGGAGGGACACCCTGGGCTGCTGCTTCACATCGTAGAATTCTTCAGGGAGGAGCCAATCCCGGCAATATCAAGTGCATCTAAGGGCGCACGAGTTTCGGTTGGCCGCCACCAACAAAGTGTCGAACAAACATTGAAGCAAAAAAAGGCCCCCCTGCTCTTCCCACCCTTGCCATTTTTGTGTACAGAAAAGGCAGCTTCTCGATTTCACAATTGTCCTCTTCTCGACCTGCATGGCCCAACCAGCCACTATCTCCTCAAACACAGGGTCCAGACGCCCAGGGATGGCAGGTTGGCGTTGCGCTTTCCCATTACTGCCGGCACCTGGCACGATGAAGTCAACCAGGATATCTTCACTGTAGGTGTGAGTTGAATGGCCTTCAAAGGGAATTGGTGATTCCTGCTTCGTTCTAGCCTGATCAAAAAGATCTGTGTATATACCAATTCTGTCATCAAAAGAAAACTTTGTCAAGTGTCGGTTCTATGTCTTGAAGACTCGAAGACGTTTGTAAAAACCTATATACACTTCTCTAAAGGGCTGTGTATATCAAAGTCCCTACTGGGGACAAAGCACCTTGTTGTCAGAAAGGTGTCAAATGGCTTTGGCAACTTGCTGCCACAGCACCATCAAAACCAACAAAATCTCAGCATATCTACCCTGCTTCAAAACTAAGTTATATATATATATAAGCAGCCTAACCACCATCAAAAATGTCAAAGGACAGTCCAGCAGGGCAGTCTTCACCTACCATAGTCTTGAGCTTTCGAACTTGACCCATATTGGCACGGTACCAGCATGGCATACAAACCCGCTGAGCGTCACGATACTGTTCGCCCCAAATAATGCCGAGATGGCGAAGCCCTGAGATGCCAATGACGCGATCTGGTCAATGGAATTCCTGGCCGATCTAGCCACATCAAGATAGGTCATGTGATAAATGTTTGGGAATTGGGAATTGGTTGGATCCCTCGACCAATTCCTTTTATTGTCATTCAATTTCAATTTTATATGTTGCTGTTCTCTTTGAGTCTCTTTAGCATCAGGTGCATCACCTGACATAGCAGAGGCTGATGGAATGGCATGGACTCTCCAGTCGCTGCTGGTGCATACAGAATTGGCTATACATTCTAGGCTTCAAAACAAGCACCACAAGGTCCAACCCCAACACCAAGCGACCCAACGCCATCTTTTGTGAATTCAAAGTTGAAGCTCTGCCGCTTTTCAACTTCCACTGCCGAAGCCGAAGCCGGACCCACTGGGCTCCACACTGATCCTCGATAGCTGAGAGATCGATGTCAATCGGAACCCCACAGGACTCGGCCTGAGCTGATGCACCAATTGATCCAACTGGGCCAGATGGTCGTTCAACGTTCCCTCTATGACACCCAAAAGCTTCTCCAGGTTTCAGCACCCCATGTTCTTTGCAGTGCCAAGTTTCAGCGTTTCTCTTGTTCCTTCATCCATGCGGAGGTCTACCTCGATCTGAAATTTGTCCTCGTCCCTCTTAAGCTATAGTTGCCAAGGTGGACCTGTCGTTCGACGGTTTCCTCCAAAACAATGTGGCCTTGCAAAACCTCTGGTTTCTAGCCTGTTTCAGGTTCAGAAAGTTGTGCGAGGTATGTTTTGAGCCTCTTCAATGCTGCGTGTCATTCTTTCTCTTGGAGACAGCCCGAATCATGAAGCCCTTCAAAGAAAAGCAACTACTTGGAGGTTCTCCGCAAGGGGTACAAGTCCCTGTATACATGTATTGGAAATCAATGTGACAAAAAATGTAGAACTGAGGTCTTGGTGTCTACTTATTTGGTTGAAAACTATCAATTCACCGCACTTCGATCAAGGCGCTCGATGCAGGACCTGTGACACATAGACCGCCGAGAGGTTAACAAAGCCCTGGCAGCTGAAACTGAGCTGATGAAACAAGAAACCAGACGCCGAAGATTGAATCCTTTGGATTCCAACAGCAGGATAGGATCAATACACCTCCACTTGAGTTCTGGCAAGGATTGGACGGCAAACTGTTGAACCTCCATCAATGAGCCAAAGGGTGCATTTCAACACTAACCACTTGAAATTCTGATCAACAACTCGTCTCTGGGCACCCAGATTGACAGCCGAAAATTGAAACCTGCAGAATCTGCTCTTCCCTCAGTATTTTCTGCCACAGAGCTGCTATTTTTTGTATTAGTTATTAGTGTTGCCCTCACGGTCACAACTCTCCAGTCCCGTCAAGATGCCCAGGCCACTTTTACAGCTTATTGAGCTTGCTGGATCAAAGTAAGGGTTGGACACAGCGCACAGCGCCTGCACCCTGATGGCAAAATCCAGAACCCAAGCCACGGTCTAAGTCTTGATTTCGGGCATGAAGAATTAATAAAATTCAATGAGGCTTTGAAAATGCTCGGGATGCTGGATTTTGAGGGATGCAGTGTCCAAGAGTTCCACAGAGCGTGAATTTGCAGGGAACCAATCCCAAGCTTGATGGCTGCGGTTCTACGGCAGAAACCATGTGGCTGAAGACACCTAATATCACCTTCAGCTGAGAAGGTGACAACCAGCTCCTTCATCAACAATTATGTATTCAAAAAATAAATGTATACATATATGTATATATATAATCAGGAAAGCTTACTGTGGGATAAAACATCCTAAGACTGTCTATGTGCTGCAGCTAGCTTGTTCCTGAATCGCGAATCACGCAATCGTTGACCAAGGAGCATCTAGTTTAGAGAACTATCCTGGGCAAATTTGTTGAACCAACGGAGTGCTTGTTCCAAGCAGGCCCGCGATAAGGCTTCAAATGCCCTGAAAACTGCTCTGCGGATTGGCTAGGGATGCTAGCAATCACGACAAGACCCACAATCGATTGATCACCTGGATCACCTCTCTAGAGCTTGGCTTAGAGCCCGAGTCCTGCGTCACATGCCAAGGGCTCCAAGCTGTTGCAGCCTGTACACGCTGCAACTTCTCACATGGACACAGCCCCTGTCTGTGCTCAGGGACCATGTTGGACATCAGGACACTGAGTCCTTGGTGTCGTGGTGTCGTCAAAAGTTCCCCCCCGAAAGCCCGGACTGGAGACGCTGGCCACATCGTCTTCTCAGTCTTAAATTGCCAACCCCAGCATGATGGCGACAGTGTGGCTTTCGATGGCTCCACGGCTGCCGCGGAAATCACCTTCGGAGAAGGTTAGAATCTGCTCCGCTCCTCCGAAGCAAGGAAGTACATCTAACGACTGGTCTTACAGGCAGCTTTATCCAAAAGGATCTGGATACAAATCTGCTCATTAAAGGCTAAGAGTGCCATTGGTGGCGGAGGGGCACTAGATATTGCTTCTTGGCAAATTCGTGGGACAAACGGCATGCTTCTTCCAAGCAGCTCTTATGTCCCAGTAAAGCTCTACGCAAAGCCGTGAAAACTGTTGAGAAGTCCTAGCCATGACCCCAAAATGACGTCACTAAAGAACCTCTGCCCTAATAGTGCAAGCTGTACATTGCTGTAGCCTCTGAAAGCATCTTTGCATCTTTGCATTTGCGCTCACTATGGGTTCTCAAGCGCTGAGTCCCAGTGCTGAAGCCCGGCGAAGTGGCACAAGTTTGCTTCCAGCTGCTGTGGCTAAGGGGAGGTCATGTCAAGCTCGTCCATCTGTGGTCCGGGAGTGGGTGGGATGCCTTTCGGACCAAAGATCCGTCGTAGGTGCTCCTCTCCGGCGGAACTCGGGGAAGCCCCTCGAAAACACTAGTCCCAAGTCTTTCAGAAATTTGGTTTTCGACTTTTCGACCAACACTTGCCAATCGCTCTTACGTTGGAGGCCATTGCTACTAGGGTGGAGGCCATTGTTCACTTGCCAATCCTTGCCAACAATCTATTGTCGCTTCCATGTCGTGAGAACCTGCTAGCCCGGTCATGACATGGGCCACCCTTCTTCAAGGCAAGATACACTCGGTTCAGAGCAAATGCCACACACCCCTAGACCAGCTAAATCTGAGTTTAGTGTCATCTCCTCTGAAGTGGCAAATGATCCTTTCCCCCAATGTCAGGCAAGCTAGAATAGTGAATAGTCCACCAGCCTTAAATGAGGATAGCATCAACAGCCCTGTTTGGATCTCCTGCACTTGCAGGTCTTCAGAACTTCACAAACCTTTCCTTATCCATCCAACATGTGATTGCTAAGTATGTACACAGCCGAAGAGAACGGTTTGGCTATGAGAAGCAGTGCGATGCAAAATTCGACTGTCTAAGCAAGTTTGTATCGAGTCATCCCTTCCCTCCCAGGGTCACCCCATCGACTCATCCACTCTCTCATCTCCTCCTGGGATCTGGGCTCCGGTGATTGGAACCGATCCCAGCTTCGGCTGTCTTCCCGCTGCCGCTCCAGCCGCTCCAGCCGGCTGCGCTCGGTGCGGCTACCGCTGCGGCTGATGCCCATCCGTGAGCGCTCCCGGGTCGCAGAGGGCATGGCGTGGACAGTGACTTCTCGACAAATGCGAAGCTCAAAGAGCTGCGAAGAGTTCAAAGAGCTGGCATAACTCCATGTCAGATGGGAAGACATGAAATTTCTTGGGTTCATTTAAGATGCCAGTGCTGTCACCATGGCTTGCACACATGGCATGTAAAGAAAGAGTTATATAGGTATGTCTAGGTTCTTATGGAAGCGATTGAGTCGCACCACAATTATGGCTTTAAAACAGGTTTTCATGAATGTCATGATCTTGGGAGCCATGATGTCTTTTTCCTTTTGCGCTTGCCCCTTGGAGCTGACCCCTTTGGGGACGGGCTCCGCGCCGGGAGCTGGGAAAAACCGGGGTTCGGGATCCACTTCGTCCGTGAGCAGATGAACTGAAAGCGATCCAAAGAGTGGCTCAAACCCTGGAAGGCCCTAGCCACCCTGGCACCCTCAATGGGGATAGATTCAAGGGAAACTGCCCTGGTTTTGGCTCCACATTCCAGCTCTGATCAGAGAAAATGTGGATGGACGACCTGACGTGACCTGGCTGGTGTGTGGCAATCGTCAGTGCTCTAGTGCGTCAAACTTGACTGCAGCTCACACAACAAGCCAAAACATGGTGCAGAAGGGAAAGAATACACAACCCCCCTGTCACTAAAAGGTGATGACCAGGGTGATAACGGCGGCTTGATAACAAAAAGTTCGGAAGCAACTACGCAATACATTCGAGGCACTGGCCATGAATATACCCATGATAAACACCCCTGAAAGCTGGGACGTTGGCGCATCCACCATCTGCGTTTCACCTGAATCCACCGGCAAGCTCGATCACTCCCAGCAGAAGTGCCGCACAGCTTGGCTTCGCCAAGGCATGCAGAGTGGGGTCTCCTCTACATTTGGCTGTAGGTTTCATCGGAGGAGCCAAGCACTCGGCACACTCAGCACACTGTGAGGTGGGCTCCAAGCAAGCCCAAGATTTGGAAGAATGATTCTAACATAGCTTAACACATCAGTATACATGTCTTTAGATTTCTTTAGTATATTGAATGCTCAATTAGCCGTGCGGATGCAGGCAAACAGGGGCCCAGTCTTCCCCCAACCAATGAAGCATTTAGTCATTGTCTTGAGGAATCCAAGGTTTGGTCATGGCTCCATGCTAGCGGCTCTCCAAGTCAACCATCCAAGTCAAACTGCTCACTCAAGCGGCTTCCTGTCCTCAGTGCAAGAAGCCTAAACAACGGTCACATCGGCTTTCCATGGAAAGCTGCATGTTGATATCGTAGTGATTCTATCTCTGTGTGTTGCTCCTTCTCTTCCACTCATTCCCTGCCCTGTGCCGCACACTAACCATCAATTCCCGATCAAGTTCAGTTAACTCACAATGCTTTTCCCAAGAGATATTCCTCCCAATCTGCAGAGGTGGGAACGCTGGGGTACGAAGTATCATATCCACTTTTTTTCGGTCATCCGTCCAAAAGTTGGAGGCTGAATGTAGTAGCGAACCTTGTTCCTAGTAGTAAGGCCAGGAGCCCCTAATAGCTTCTTGTTGCTAACCAATAAGATGGTTGAAAATTCAGGGATGCTTCTTCGCACTTTCCTGATCCCAGCGTCGTGCATACATGGAGAGGAACTCCTTGGTGGCCTGGCGCTCGGGGAGCACAGCGGCTTGTGAGGACGATTTTCCAGGTGCTAACCAAGGTCATGAGCATAATGAGCATCTGGCTAAGTCTGAACACGGACGAAGTGACTGCCAACCCCATGTTGCTACGCGCACAATGAGATTTAGAGAAGGTCTCGAGTCTCGTAGCCCTGATTTTCGCCACCAAGCTGATTTACAGTACTATTGGTCGCCAACACTCTCCGTGTGGCCGTGCCTGCGGTGCAACCGGCGTGATGGCTACCTCAGATTCCGCAGCGTGGGTTGTAAAGCTGCTTCCAAAGCGATGCAAAGGCATCACACAACTGCTTGGAATGAAACACAAATCCAATTATACCAGCGTAGACCCCAAACAGAGCAATGTTCAAAAATGAGATCTCCGAACAATATGGCCAGCAGTATTTCCTAGAGGAAGAAAACTGTAGTCCACCATGTAGACGCACATACAAGATTCAAAGGGAAAGCATTAAAATTCTGTTTTTCATTGACTTTACAATGGGACGCCGTACAAGGGCTAAAACATGAAATTTATGGATCCAGGTTGTGACATATGTTGCCCCCCTTGTAAACACGAATGCGCAGACCCAATCAAAATGAAGATTTCCTCAGAGCACGGACACTGCGCTTGGCTTTTTCCTTCCTACGCAGTTGCCTTCTTTGGCTTAGCCATGTGCTGCATTGACCTGTGTTTGCCATAGGTCATTCTTATTTGAAGTAAGAACCCCATAGCTGTCGCTATCTGGGGAACAAGTCTACGAGTCGCGCAGCCTGACATTTTTCGATTAGCACAAAAAGCTCAAGCAAAATCACCCCAGCAACAACACCAGCTGCCAACCGATGACCAGCAACAAGGCTTACCAGAGTCACAGCAACCAACCTACTCACAAAAGCACATGAAATTAGACAAAATACTATCACGCGCATAATATGATGTCATGCACATGAAATGATACGGTTCACGCGGAATGATGTCGCGCACATGACATGATGTCATGCGCATGAAATGATGTCATGCGCATGAAGTAATACTTCTCATGGGAATACTGTAGTTTTACTAACAGCAGCCGAAATAATACTCTGCCCGTGAAATGATGTCATTACATGAAATCATGAAGCGCGCATGAAATGATGTCGTGCGCATGACATGATGTCATGCGCATGAAACGATCTCACGCGCATGAAATATTACTAGCATCCAATGCGACTGCATGCAGTGCGGCGACTTGCGGTGCGGTCACGTGCAGTCACTTGCGCCAGCGGACAGTGGTGGTCACTTGCTGTCACCTGCTCCAGCACGCGGCGGCGGTCACTTCGGTCACGTGCTCCAGCAGTCTCTTAAGGGGTCACTTACTGTGGTCACTGGCGGTACGGTCACTTGCGCTCGCTGCCGTCACTTGCTCCAACGAGCAGCGGCGGTTCCTTGCTGCAGTCACTTGCGGCCACTCGCACTTGCGGTGGGGTCACGTGCGGTCACTTGCTCCAGCGGGCAGTGGCGGTTACTTGTTGTCACTTGCGGCCTACGCGCGGTGGGGTCACGTCCGGTCATTTGCTCCAGCGGGCAGTGGCGGTTACTTGTTGGAGTCGCTTGCGGCCGCCTGCGGCGCACTTGCGGTGGGCTCACGTGCTGTCACTTGCTCCAGCCGGCAGTGGCGGTTACTTGCTGGAGTCACTTGCGGCGCACTTGCGG